AAACTACACATCTTGTAGATTAGAAATTGCATGTAATGAATTCTGTTCCAAAATGCAGATGTGTTGAGACCTCGATCTTCTCGGAAGGGACCCACTGTTGTTCGATAAATGTAAGTGACCACCTCCCTAAGATGGGCACTCAATCTTTGCATTTTGGGTGGTCATCAACAAGAGTTTAGACTGAATTGAAATGAGAAAGAGGAGACACTTGGAAGAAGAATAGTAGCTACTTAAAAGCAGAGAAGAAACACTTGAGCTTTATACAGCAAGAAAAGGGGAAAGTTTATTGTTCCGAAATTTCTTAGATAACCGGTCTGGGCTTGGCGAACCATTTTCTTCTGTTGCTATAGTTTATCTTCCTAAAGGTAGGAAGCAGAAACTTAGCTGGATAACCCCTAAAGTGTAAGCGTTTTCAGAAATTTATACGCGTCTAATTGATTGAGAGTGAAGTTGAGCTATTTCTAGCATAACGCATAAGTTCGCCCTTGTTGAAAGCCTTCTCGTTGCTGGCGGGGTGAAATTGTTGGTTTAATTTTTCTACCACCGCGGGCACTGGCAGCGAATTCGCGTACGTCATCTGAGTTACTATTATGGGCTGGCGCATGTGCTCGCCGTCTGAAAGATGGTAAGGAAACCTTTGAATTATAAAATGTAAATAAATACATCGAGTTAGAATTATCATTTGTAATCTTCGAATTATCGTTTCTTTCACGTCTTACCGCGTACTGCAAATCTTGTGAGTATTTATTTTCGTTTTAGAATTTTATTTCGTCTCGCTTTATTTACTGTTCGTTCGTATCTTTTGTTGTTGTGGCTATAATGGCCGGTAACCCGTCAAGGTTCTCAAAACACTAAATGACCGGCAGTCCCATATTCTCAGTAAATTTCACAAAATTGAAAAATTCCAGCTAATCTAAACTATCATATGTCGATTAAGAAAAGTCAAGCAGTCCTGAAATGCTTTAAAGATCTCAAGTCTAGCGTTTGGTTTACGCTGGGCTCAGAAGACAAAAACCATGTTTTAGACACTTGGGTGTTGAAAACACTAAAATGATCGGCAGTCCTTAAATTTCACAAATCGAAAAATTCCAGCTAATCTAAACTGTCATGTCGATTAAGAAAAGTCAAGCGATCCTGAAATGTTTTATAGATCTCAGGAATAGCGCTTGGTTTACACTATCCCCTAATAGGAACTGCCGTTCATTTAGTGTTTTCAACACCTTGACCGGCAGTCGAGCTGAAAAAAGTTTTTGGTGTCACAAAACATGGTTTCGACTCCTGAGCCCAGCGGAAACCAAACGTTAGACTTGAGATCTATAAGCATTTCACGATCGCTTGACTTTTCTTAATACATTCTACGCCCTGCTGCTGAGAATGATCCAATAAATGCATACATAATCTTTATTTAGATACGATGATTTTTAAAGCTGTAAAAGCTCGTGAGGTCGTGTGTTTACGAATTAAACTAACCTAATCTACATCAAAACATATATACTAATTATATATTACATAGACACAGTGATCAGCAATATATAAAATTCTGTTGTCTACATTTTATAGCAGATCCCGACATACATTCAAACATGAAATCTATAAAATAATCTTCAGAGCTGACACGCTTCCTGAGCTGATTAAAATTCAGGGTCGCAGATGCTTCCTGTTGTCATTGTAGTTAATGGACATATGCTAGTTTCAATTGGTTTAGCTGGATTTTTTCGATTTGTAAAATTTACTGAGAATATAGAGTAGGTCTTATCACGGTTTTCGACCCCATCTTGACGAGTAGGCAACCGCGTGAGAAATTACAGTGTTTGTATAAGAATCTAATGTCGAATAATTTCCGTAAAACGGCTGTTCTGAAAAAAATATGATTTGTAAACTAAAGCTACACAGCAAAGGATTTTGCTATCAAATTTTGGGGGCCGTTACTGCGCTTAAATTTCTCCAGACGCTTGCTTCAGATTTTCCACATATTTGTCTGCAATTTTTTTCCCTGGAAACGTTTACAGGCAAATGTATAGAAAATTTTAAAAAGTGGTTCTAACGCATATACCGGTAGCTGCTTATGACGACCTCAATTTTTTTCAGAAGAATCGTTAGGAGTGAAAATTTAGTTTACAATTCATATTTTTTTCAGAACAGCCGTTTTACGGAAATTTTTGGACATTAGATTCTCATACAAACACTGTAATTTGTCAGGCGGTTGCCTACTCGTCAACACCGTGATAAGGCCTATAGAGTAAATTTATTGCAAATTTTGCATTTATATATACACCCGTAGTTAATCGACATATGACGGCTAAATTTGCGATAATTTTTGTCTACAGACATAACAAAAAATTAGCTGTTAAGTCACTCTTTATATATACAAAACGTAAATTTAGCCATTAATTGACGGCTAAATTTTAAATATTTATTTATACAAACTGAGAATTTTGACATATGCTAGTTTGTTTTAGCTGGATTTTTTCGATTTGTGAAATTTACTTAGAATGTAGGACTACCGGGCATGAGTGTTTTGAAAACCTTTACAGTTACCGGCCATATAGCCACAGCGTTTGTCGCTCGTTTCTTAAATCGAACCAAATCTCAGCAGATTTTAGATCTCAGAGCTCAGAACTTCAGCGTTCGGCTCGCTCTTATCGTACAAGTCATTCAGGGGCACCCAACGTCAATTTTCGGAAAATATCTGTTCGGAAGACGATTTGAGATCTATAATTTTTGGAACATTTTTTGTATAATTTCTTGCTTGCCTGCCTCTCCGAGAATTTTTGAACATCTAAAAAATGGTATAATGAGAGATATAATTGCTCATTTTTAACGGAATTTAACCCTAAAAAGGTCACCTAGAATTTTCGGGAGCCATTTTTCTGGCTGAAATTTTGGAAAAGGTAAGTTTTGATCCCTATAACTTTCGGATCACTAGTTTTTCAGCTAGGAAATCCGAACAGATGAAAAATTTTTAGGGGATAAAAATATGCCCATATTTACCGTTTAAATACTAAAATACGTTTAACACTGCTATGTTTAAGTGATTTTGAACTATATTCTCGTTGGGTGCCCCTGCAAGTTGAGTAAACAGATCTCTCGGCTGGCAAATAAAGTTAAGGATTACGGGCATTAAATTTCGACACCTTAATGCTATAATAATATTGTCTTTAATAATAAAAGATTTTTTGAATGCACCAACAGCATCTGCTCTGGATTTCTTTTATTTTAATTTTCTAAAATCACCTATATTGATGATATGATCTTGATTTTTCTAAAGGTCACTATTTTTGTTATTTCTAGATGATAAGAAGAATTACTGTCAGGTTTTTCATTAACAATTGAAACATGGAGCATTCTATTAGTCCAAACTTGAGTGCTTACTTAAAGCATGAAGTTTTGGATCTGAAAGGAAAAGGACTCTTCAGGGTACCTGATGCAGTCACTGAACTGAGTGAAGTAGAGAAACTTGTGCTGGACAGAAATAACCTAACTGAATTACCAGCAAGTATCAGCAGGCTGAAAAATCTTATTGTGCTCAAACTGGATGGTAATAAGCTAACAAAACTACCTGCTGAGATTGGTGACCTCAGGGAGTTGAGACAGCTGTGGGTGAGTGCCAACCAGTTGCTTGGTTTACCCACCAGTATACAGATGCTGACCAAGCTTGAAAGGCTGTACTTGGATGGAAATAAACTAACTGAACTACCTGCTGAAATTGGTGACCTCAGGGAGCTGAGGGAGCTGAGTGTGAGAGACAACAATTTGATTGATTTACCTACCAGTATACACAGGCTGACCAAGCTTGAAGAGCTGGACTTGGTTGGAAATAAACTAACTGGACTATACCTGCTGAGATAGGTGACCTCAGGGAGCTGAGGGTGCTGGGTGTGAATAACAACCAGTTGGTTGGTTTACCTACCAGTATACACAGACTGACCAAGCTTGCAGTGCTGTACTTGGATGGAAATAAACTAACTGAACTACCTGCTGAGATCTGCGACCTTAAGGGGCTGAGGCAGCTGAGTGTGAGTGACAACCATTTGGTTGATTTACCTACCAGTATACACAGGCTAACCAAGCTTGAAGAGCTGGACTTGCTTGGAAATAAACTAACTGAACTACCTGCCGAGATTGGTAACGTGAGGGAACTGAGGGAGCTGTGGGTAGGTGACAACCAGTTGGTTGGTTTACCTACCAGTATACAGAGGCTGACCAAGCTTGAATTTCTGTACTTGGATGGAAATAAACTAACTGAACTACCCGCTGAGATCTGTGACCTCAGGGAGCTGAGGCACCTGAGTGTGAGTGACAACCATTTGGTTAATCTACCTACCAGTATACACAGGCTGACCAAACTTAAAAAGCTGTACTTGGTTGGAAATAAACTAACTGAACTACCCGCTGAGATCGGTGACTTGAGGGAGCTGAGGCAGCTGGGTGTGAGTCAGAATCCTTTAACTATTGACGCAGTAAGATGTGCCCTGAAGTTGAGGAAGAAGGGAATACTTGTAGGTGGTGTTGCAGGTAAGAAAAGCGGATATTTTAGTTATTTGGAAGTTCGAAAAAAACCGAAATAAAATTCCACTATTTGCCTGGGGAAGGGAAGTCAGTTTTGCTTTCAGTTATCGGGGGTTTCACGAATTTGAGGGTTTGAGAAGTCAGGGTACGCTACAACTGTGGTTTCAATATCAATGGTAAGTGTCTTGTATATTAATTCATTATATTTTATTAATATGTATGTTTTAAAATTTTAAATCAGACGTGAAAAATAGGTATAATGAATTAGTAATTATGGGAATAATCATGGAAACATACAAAGGTAAAAAATAAATGACAAGATTCCGGGTGATTTCTAAGGTAAAGACCAAACATTGTATTCCATCACACCCTTACATTGTACTGCAATATTAATGAATCACAGGTTGTGTTTTCACTGGATTGATTTTGTCACTGAGCTGAACATTTTTCCTAGGTGTTTTTTTATATACCAACAATTACTAGTTAATTGTGACAGCTGTTTTCACTTTTAAATTTAGCTCAGAATAACTTAGAGGATCTGCATTAAAAAACCGCGCAACATTCAAGAATGTTAGGAGGCTAAACGCTTTGAATGTGTTTTCGTTTAATGATTCTCGCAAGTTTATGAATGCGGTTTAATACTGTCTCTAAAGAGTAAGAGGATAGGAAGCAATATTGTAATCTTGTTTCAAAATCTAACAGCAAAACAACAATTATTGCCGTAAGTAGCCGGGTTTAACCCGGCGAGCCCAATCGATGAAATTCGATAATCGAAAAAATGGATTGTAATCAATTTTCATGATCGACAGTAATTAAACGATTACTATCGGTAATCGATAAATATCGAAGATCGAAAGAGTTGTGAGTATCAGTAAATGTTCATCGATTTTAATCAATGTTCATCCATTATATCGATTGTCAATGGTACAGTCAAACCCCGCTTTACGAACACCCGCTTAATACGGACACCCGTTATTGGGGACAGTGGACCCCGAAGCAAGCGTTGGAAAATAATTTTTCAGATTATTTCAACACTTGGCAGGCGTCTGTCACAACGCGCAAAGCGATTGGCTGCGGCATTTATTAGGATAAGTTATACCATCTCTCGAGGTTGTCTAACTTTTGAGTAATTTTCCGCTTATAAAGACGAGGAAATCCCTTATTTTTGCTCTTGAAAACAGTGAGCATGTTTAACTCGCCAACACAAGACGAGGTGTTTTGGCTGTATTTCTGGACTTTGCTGGCTTTATCTAGCTAGCATTATCCCAGTGAAAACACAACCGCAGAGTTTAATGGATAATGTGATTTTGTCATGTTTTAATTATGGAATCGAAGTTTGGCCGCTGAACACAATATGTATTGAATACAAAAAATTATTGTTACAGAAGAATAAACAGACTACCATAAAGGGTGAGGAGTTTTGAGCTGTTCAGTAAGCTCGCTGTTCAAGTTTCAAATTAAAGAAGATGGCTTGACTTTCTGTGTTTAAGCCTGAGAAAGCTGTTGTGAAGTATTTTGAAAGTTTTGACAGATCTATCTTAACTTTTGAGTTTAGTTTCATTAAGTCTTGTTTTTGTCCACGTACTGTTTTCCTCTTTTGACCTTTTGTTTTTACTTGTACTTGAAGTTATGCTTAGCTCGCGAATTTACTTATTGCCATATTAGGAATGTTACAGGTGGTCGTGTTTGTGGTGTTAGAGCTGAACTGCGTTATTTGGTACTTGTCAGCTGCGGCTGTGCGTAGTCTAATCTATTCTCTGACAATAGCAAACCTGTTGCAGTGTTAGCGATAAGAAATACAATGGAAACTCTTCCGGCCAGCTAACCCAATCACGTCCAGCTTTGGCTATTAAAACCGCTTCTATACTTGAACTAGTTAGTAGAGAAGAGTAGGAAAAGTAGAGTAGAAGTAGTGTAAGCAGAAGTTGTAAGAAGATTAAGAAGAATAAAAGCAAGATGTAAATCAGATTCCTGGTACCTCGTCGTGTAGCGAGCGAGTTGCTCGAACACACCCCCACAAAGCACTCTTCGTGATCTAAACTATAACTATTTAACAAAAATTATAAGTCACAACTAGCTTCACTTAGGTTTGTTTTGCAACTTAGTTGTTGTGGTTCTCCCTGTCAACATGCATAGTAATAATGTAAGTGAATTGCCTAACCCCTCAATCTGGAGGGCCAGGTGTCTTGTCTTTCACCTGAAACCTGCCCAGCACGGTTGAACCCAGCAGGGACTGTGGTCGCAACTGGTATAGCCTCGAGGATCACGAAGGCAACCAAACCTTCCCACCACTTAAAAGGCATAACGCTTAGGGAGGTGGAAACAAAGTACAGAATAATCTAAACAAAGCACAATTCTACATTATTAAATTATTTAGCGTAATAGCTCGATTTAGCGCCCGGAGCGCTTATATACGAATGGTTTGTCAAATGAGGGCGCTTATTAGAGACAGGGCGTCTATCTCTTTTAGACTGCGAAACAAAACTCTAAAACCATAAAACAGGAGCAGGGCACCTTATAGGCAAGAATTAGCAAACGTGTACGATCATGGCTCGTTCTGAAAATCCCTTGATTTGGAGTTCGAAGCTTGTTTATAAAGGCGAATTTTCGTCTGCTATACGAGGTCATCATGGCCACAAAGCGACATGGTCTCCAACTAAAGGAGAGTCTCGGGCAGTAGGAAAGGGAAAGAAGCCAAACAAAACGTTGAATTCGTAGTTGGGACTCATCTTCAAGCTTACAAAAGATATTTTCCCATGGAACTTTCCTTCCTGATATTCCTTTCCTTCCTTTCCTTCCTTATATTCCTTTATATTTAAATTATTTATTACCTTAGTATTTTAGTATTTAAGGATTTTAGTCTTTCAGTTGTTTCATAGGGCCATAAAGGTTGATTTCCACTGACGCGTTTTTGGCTGCGCTCGTTAACGTACGTAAATTTTAATCACGTAAATAAAATAGAGGCTAGATATAAAGTGTTGGGATAAAACGTGAAGTTAAGCGAGGTTCTACTTTTACACTTACCTGCAACCTTTCGCACATTGCCTCTATTTTATTGCGAACGTAAATTTTACGCGCGCACGCACGTACAAATTACGCGAAAGTGGAAATCAATCCCAAGGGAGAATACAGTACAACTGTAATTATGCACCCTATTGAAATAAATTGTAAAGAGTAAATTTTAAGCTCGGAGAAACAAATGTAAAAATAAATTAATCAGTTTAAAATTTACCATCTTTCATTCTTTTACCACACAGTACGACATCGACATTGCTGATCCTTGCAGTATGCAGGACGCGTGTCAGATATGAACCTAGTATATGGCCTAGCTCTCCATGAGTTCTCCGTAGCTCAAGTGGATAGAGTGTTTTCACATGACGTCACGGCGGCCATATTGGTATCCCAAAACAATGAAACGGCGGCCATGTTGGTGTCCCAAATCAATCCTCTGGGAGTTGAACTCTTTTCTTATACAAACGCTTTTTTTGTTCCAATAAATTTGCATAGATACTGGCCACGTGAATGAAAACACTCTATAGAGCGCCCGCCCGGTGTTTGGGAGGTCTTAGGTTCGAACCCTGTTGGGGACTCAGATTTTTTATTTGTCCAAAGCTCGTGACATGCTGATTAATTCATTTTCATAGTATCCATAATATTTACAAACTCTTAACATATATAATCCGGAACTAGCCTTAGAATGAATGTTATGATCGAAATGCGTGTCGCAGTTGCATGGTAACTTTGTAAATGTCACTCCTAATAACTTGAGTTCCCCTTTCCTCTCAATATCTTTCATGGTTTCCGGGATTGGTTTCTTAGTATTTCCTCTAACCACCATTTCCCACGTCTTTTTGAGGTTCAAGGTTATAAAATTCTCAATAGACCAGCATAGGGTATTCTGCACCTCGACGAAAGATAAGTCCAGAGTATTAGATGTTATATATAGGGACACTCAAAGTGATGTCGCCAGTATACTTCAAGAGAAGATTCTTGTTTGGATTTGCGGCTATGATGTCATTTACCATAACAAAAAACAAGTCAGGACCTAACACAGTTACTTGTGGGACTCCTCTATTGATGTCCACAAACTTTGTTGACACGTCATCAACTACAACCCTTTGCTTTCGATTACTCAAGAAGTTTATTATCCAGTTGATAACATATTGATTAATGTTGTACGATCCCAACTTGTTGCACACTATTTCATGCGAGACCGAATCAAAGGCTTTACTAAAATCAAAGGAATATACCTTAGCAAAGTCAGCTTCTGTGTCCAGCCATCCTAAATAGTGATGTTGACATTTAATGAGGGCCATAGTACGTAATTTGGTCACGAGCTGTAATGTATTCCGAGCGGGGTACAATTGCTCAAATGTATCACGATCGGGATACATTTGATTTTAGTCAGGGCCATGTGACCAAGAATCAACCAATGGCAGTCCCTGTTTATTCGAGTGAAAGTCTAGGAATCTAACAATAGTCTGTTATTGTCTTTATTGAATAGCAACGCTTATTGGTATTGGGGCGCTTGGAATGAGGGTGCTTATGCAATAGAGGTGCTTATTAGAGTGGGAGCGCTTATTAACAAAAACCCATCCGAGGTGGAGGTTAGAATAATTTTTTTTTTCTTAGAGGGACAGGTATTTTACATGAATGCAAACAACACTTATGATTCTGATGACGCAATACATAATCATTTATGGTGTTTTGAACATGCATGGAGACCTGAAATTAATGGAAATTAACCCCGCCCCGTCCCCCCCCCCCTCCTCCCTCCCTTCACCTCCTAGGTCAGTCAAGTGACGTAGAAGCCAATGAAGTACGCAAACTCTAAGACATTACTTACCTTTAATAAGCATTCGGTTTTTTTCACTAGCTCCTTTAGAAATAGAAACACGCGGAGAAAAAGCACAGCTCGCTTATCAAAGTGCTCTGAAAGATGGAGCTGTTAATGTTTACCGTGGTCGAGTATTGCTTATTGGGCAAGATCGAGCAGGAAAAACAAGTTTGAAGAAGTCTCTCATTGGTCTACCGTTTAATTCAAAAGAAAAAAGTACTGATGGAATTGAAGTGGATCCATCAAAATTTCAGTTGGGCGTTGATGAAGTCAGGAATTGGCAACCTATTGATGAGAGAAAACAAGGGTTGCTAGGATGCTTGAAAGATGTGGCACAGATGGTGGTGGAAAAGATGAATGATACTTCAGTTAACCGTGATTGGGTTCAGGAGGAGGAAAGAGGTGATGCGATTCTTCAAAATGATTATAACAAGAATAGGAATCAGGTTGGTGCTGATGCAGAAGAGGAAGAAGTTACTCTTGTGAACCAGGTTTGTCTTTGTTGGTTTTAAAATGTGATGTTTGTTCGTGAATCCTTCGTTACGTCAATAATTTCCTAACAGTAATTGCTCCCGCAGGGATTTCTCCCAGAAGGCGAAATCGCGAGGAGGCACTCTAGTAACTCGCGCGTATATTAAGGAAAGTACTTACAGTTGAAACATACAGTCATACAGTCAATATAGAAAAAGTCTCGATTTGCTTGAACAGGGGCCGCGCGGAATCGGTAGGTAATGATGACGTTTCTATTGTTTGCGCCCGCAAGTACGAAATGGTTAGGATGACGTTAAGACAGAACATCCCCAAGGGACCGTTTATGTAGATTTTGTGACATTTATTGTGCAGTCATACTTCGACACTCTTTTACGTTACGTGTTATCAGTGACATTCTGTGGAGCAGTTGTTTCAGTGAAAGTTATGGACCAAAATTTTAACGACACTCGTTAAGCGCAGAAGAAGTTATAAGGTGCGTATAACTGTGTATATATAAACACTTGGAGAGTTTGCCAAACATGAGTTCCCAAATCTTTCATTGGAAACCTTGCCAGACACTCTTTCTCTCTCTTTGACCGGAATAAGACTAAGTCCCAAACAAGCAGGACGAGTGAACAACGGCTAGCTTCACACTAGCAGAACGATGGACGATTACAGAAATTCGCCGACAATCAAATTCTGTGCTGACTTATTCCCTGCTCACAGATGTCCTTCCGCTATAAAGTTTAAAATAAGACTAGAATGCGCGAGATTGAATTGATCAAACGTCCTTTTAATTTCTAAGGCTTCCTTTCCGGGAAATAAAATGAACTGAATGTAAAAAGTGAAAGAGAAATAGCGAAAAATTCAACTTCTAATGAAATCTTTTCTTATGGTTTAGAATAAACTATTCTCGAAACTGAGAATGTTTTGATCAAAGCTATATAAATCGACCTGAAACTGTGCATGGAACCTTGCGTTTCCTGTATTTATCTCACCTATTGTATGACATATGTGTGAAAATCTTCATTATGAATCGGTATATTTCAAAGAGCTACACAACGAGCAAGAATGCTATTGACCGACAATATACAGAGCGGGGGCAGCTGTAGTGTCAACTATTACTAGTTATTATGAATTGATTATTGCCTTCATAAGTTAGGTTTTAGTGAGAAACTCACCACGGCTTCCCTGCCTTTTACTACGATGTCATTATGGAAAATATGTAATAATTGCCAGATCGTGTTTTTTTTTTCAGTGCTGGTTAAAAATTTAGCATTTTTATACTTGTCTGATAAGTTCAGTTTCGAGTAAAGAATGATATTACTATCAACCATTTTGTTATATTTCCATGATTGTACCCATCTACACATAAGCTTAGCCTTTGGGTCATTAGTGCGTATGCAAACCAAACTGAGTATAGCCGTTTCTTTATTTATACTTTTAAGTGTTAATTAGTCTTTTAGTATAGCTTTCGCTAAGTTTTTTTTTGCCAATCACAATTTCCCTACGCTGTTTTCCTTTTTATGCGAGGAGCAAGGCCAAGGGGTTGGGGGGACTCAATCAAACACCATATTTCTATATATTCTTAAATTTACTGTTCCTTGAAAAATGCAGGAGCATTTTAATGTTTTGGATACCTCATTCCTCCAATAATTGTACCTCAATGTTTGAACTTATAAAGAATTTTCTGTTATCCATAACAACTTTAAATGGCTGAATAATCGAATCAGGGGGATGAAGAGGAATAATCCGGTGTTCATTATTCCAGCTGGAAAATTTACGTTATTCCATTATTAGTCGAGCTTGCTTAAGCAGAGCGAGACTCTGAAAATGCAGTCGTTTCTTTTTTCTTGTCGGTGGGACCTAGTTTGTAGGCCACGCGTTCCTAGCGAAGACCGTGGAAACTGGGGATAAGAATCCTGGCGACTTTCACTGTATGCAAATGAGTCTCCTGATGAGCATGCGGTATATTTTCGGCGATGACTGAAGTTTGGCACTGATGTAATTTTCCTCGAATGGAGGCCCTTGATTTTCGTGTAATTATGCACGACATGCAGGCACTGATTAAAAAGGAAATATCCCCAAGTAGGGTGAGAAAATATTATAGCGTGGAAATCCTATTTTGTGGTGTTTTAAGGCGTTACGTTTCTCAGAATATTGCCTCAATTACTTTCGGAAATCTACGGTAAAATAGATTCACTTTGTTTTATGTATTTAATTGATAGATTTTCGCAGTTGTTAAGATGTGAAGTCGTGTTGCACTTTATAAATACTTGAGATATCAAGTATCTTTTACGTGCGTACGTGCGTAAAATTTGCGTTTGCAAATAAAATAGAGGCAATGGATGAAAGATCGCAGTTACAATTATGTAAACGTAAAAGGAGAAACTCGCTCAACAACGCAGTGCGCTTTGGTCCACCGCAAATTGTGCCTGTGCGGAAGTTTGGGATGAAGGTATCATTTTTTTTTCAAGTTTTAGTCTTAAAATTGTCAAAATAAATCATATTGTGGCGCACTGCGCTGAAAAACTTTGTTATCTTCATATCTATAAATGTGCCACTCCACTGTAAAAAATATACATTTGGTTAGAGTGTAGCGTAGGTTAGCTCCAAAATAGTAACGTAGACCATACCCTAAAATTCTTCACATTCCACGAATGCCACGAAACTTACCAAGATAAAAATATTTTTTTCTTTTTTATGCATAATGATTTATCACACCGTAAAATTTTAAGACAGTCTGACAAATCCTTCATCCAATTTTTTATTCACAAACTTGAGGTAAAAAGGTCCAAATTAGCCTCCGGTACCACCTTAAATCTCAACACTTTATATCTTACCCCTATTTTATTTACGTGATTAAAATTTACGTGTGTTAACGTGCGGACCCAAAAACGCGTCAGTGGAAATCCACCCTAACGTTACGTATGTGTCACGGATGTGTTTATACGGGTAGCTTTGAACTTGACTAATCGCGCATCTACTTGCAGCACTTCATGTCCATAGAATAGAAATCCCATATCGAGCTTTTCCGGAGCGGGTTGGTCCAAGAATTCTATCGCTTGAATGTGTTGATTATTTTGGAACAACAACTGATCACTTCAGTGGTCGAAAATAAAAGGAATAATCTTAATCAGCAAAACTTCAAGGTTTACTGGAAAATCAGGATCGAGGATCGAGGAATTAGGGATTCAGGATCGGTTAAAAAGAACTTGAAAATAAAATGAATAAATAAATGGTGGATCAGTGGTGATGTGGGCCGCAGACTGTAGATAAATTTCACAGAACATAACCCCGTTGGCTGTACTGAACACTAAATTCAAGTAAACTAATCCAAGTCTGTCTGAGTCAGTGATTGTTTTGACGAGAAAGTGAAATTTTCCTGGAAAATGAAACGCTTTATCCCAGTGATACTGTAATAAAAGAAAAAACTTTAACAGTTTTTAATTTTTTAATTGTACATTTGCTTTCACTACTCCATATTTTTCTTGTAATTGTTGTATGCACGACCCCACCAGCCATGTTGATATTTTTAGCGTGCTAAAATAAAGTTCTGATCTATCTATCTAAAATGCATGCTGTGCACAACTCTAAACATTGTACTCTGAGACTGTACGAAAATATTAAAAGTAGATACTAAGCAGCTATGGAAAATGTAATTATTTTCACGCGGTATTGATATCTTATAAAGAGGACAACAAATTCAGCAGGAATACGCGCGAACTGAATTAACTTTGTGTTGTATAAGGTTCTGTTAAACTTACACAATTTTCCTGTGCTGGACATATACTGTACCGAGCCGTACTTTGGTCCGGTACAAAGAAGCTATGAATATTTATACTGACAGAGTCATGGTCCCCTGATACCGATAAAAATCATCGGTGAATTTTGGGAGTGTAAAATTCGCGAAAGAGTACTCCTCAAAAGAGCAATATCAATATGTAGAAGGTTTTCAAAAGGTTTCACACCAGTTTGAGGCTAAGTTGTGCGACCTGTCTCTCCTTGCAATTTTTACTTTTTGAGTATTTACATTATGACATATAACACTCGTTTTGTATTCCAAACGAAAAAGTAGGATAACAGCACCGGTGCCTTTGACAACAAAACTTATCTCCAAGCAAGCGAGACTCAACGTTACTAACAGCGTTCTTGTTCCAGTAAAAAAGAAGTCATTATTCCGTTGAAGAAACCTACTTTTTCAATTATTTTGCCCCAGAAAATGGCGTTATTTCCTTTTTTCTTACTCTACTATTTCTCTTCACCCCCAAAATCGAGCCAGCTACCGTAGGTCTTTTAGAATCAGAATCAACAGTTCTTTTGTTTGTTTTTTTTTTCGTAATCTGCTACAGGTTGGTGATCCAAACGAAGACAGTGTTAGTGAACTCACATTAACAGGACCTGATCATGAGTTAGTGGTTGATACTACTTCACCTTCAGAGGAGATCAAGGATCGAACTGTAAATTTAATAAAGTACATGAAAGGTGAAGATGTTAAGCCTGAGGAATCTGTTGTCAGTATTGAACTGTGGGATTTTGCTGGACAACACCTGTATCATGCATCCCATCCTGTATTTTTATCATCACGTGCGCTGTACATCTTGGTGTGCAACCTCAGCAAGTCACTGCATGACACAGCCAAACCCTGTGTGAGACAAGGGTCTCGTAATGTTCCCTTGGAAAACCCAAATGGAGAAACAAATCTTGAGAATTTGTTGTCTTGGCTGTCCACAGTGCATAGCGTCGCACAGATGAGAAGAGAAACCTGTGATGATGAAGAAGAGGAAGTGCCTCATTATTTGCGCCCCCCAGTGATCATTGTAGGAACCCATGCAGACAAACCATTTGAAGACATTGAAACAATGAAAACAGAAATCCAGAACGCAATTGCTGGTAAGGACTATGAAGGACATGTGGTGCGGCCTATCTTCAGCATTGACAACACTGCAAAATTAACTCAAAGAAAGATCAAGAAAAAAGTTTTCGGGAAAGATAAAAACATAGATAAGATCCAAGCTCTACGAGTGAAAATCTTGGAAGTGCTAAGACAGGAGCCTTACATTGGGGAGAGGATACCTGTGAGGTAAATAATGGTTATACAAGAACAGAATCCATTAAAGTAAATATTGAAAATAATTTCAAGGGTTGAGTTGTGAACGCACTGAAATTACGGATTATGTGTATTGCGTTTGTTTCCGCCAGTCCTGGTAAGATTATTTTTTTGATATGTAATGTGTTTCAGGTCTCATCATTAACTCGTTGACTGTGACGCTATATAAAAGTGTGACCGCAAAACATCTAAAGGCTGGTTCACTGTATAGTCCTTTACTTTGGTTAAAAAAAATTACAGCGTGCACAGAAAAAGTTCAGTGATTCCTGAATGAACCACCTGGCGGTCATAAGAAATGAATATCTCGTTGCTTCGTCGTGTAGAATTCCCGTTCCATTGAGGTCAACAAAAAATTTCCCGTCCGGGTGGGGGTTAGTATTTTGCTGTTTTTATCCTTGACACTTGTAAATGAAGCATACATGAGGTAAAAACAACAAAACGGTCAAGGAGTACTGGAAACAAGTTTGAAAAATAAAAACGATGGCGGCCGAAACGCGGAGAATTTTTTTTGGCTTTCAAAGACGTTTTCTGGGCGTTTTCTTCGCGCTGGCTACCCCTCACGGGTTCAGGTCAAATTCAAAGGAAAACAAAAAACCCAGTTTTATCACATTCCTTGGTTTAAAAGACTGTGGTGGTTTTAAAGGCAGACGAGAGATGGCAAGATATCAGGTGGTACCGTTCGCGATTTCTGCAAACTTTGGTTGTAATCTTTCTGCGAAAGTCTACGCAAGTGAAAATCCATACAAAAATGGCGATTTTTTAGTTGGTTTTTAGCGCGAAAAACCCAGTGAAATCCGATAAGCTGGCATTAATCGAAGGTAAGATCTTGAATTTGATGTTTTTTGATATTAATATTCCGGTGGTACCCACTGAGAGTTGGTTACGAGTAACTCACAATCAGAGACAAAAAACTCTCAAAGTCGCTTCAGTCTTATTATTCCGCCATACTTTAAAGACCAAATCGTGGCTCGAATGCAGCTCTAGCCTGTTAAATTCCCGGATGAGACCGGGCATTCTACGCGATGTTAAACACGTTAACCATGAAAAGCACTTCTGACTGAGCTTAAGGAGTATTCTGCCCTGAAGGGTTTGATAATGTTATTTTGAATTGGCCGAAAAGCACAGTGTACATTTCATTGTCGTTTTAAAAAGATAAAGTAAAGTGGATCACACACCCGTTCAATCTGTAGTAAACTGCATAATACAGGGTGAACATTCAGAACATGACCAGCTGTATTAGTTAAGCTTATTTAAGCTTATATTTATCTATTTATTTAAGAAAAACCATTTTAATACCAACTAATAAAAAATCTTCATGGTTTTTCACATCTCAGCAGTCATGTTTTGGAGCGCTTGCATGCTTCTGGCACCGGTTGTTCAAACGATGAATCACTATCAAGCGGAAAAAATATCAGTAAACCTAATGGCACTATCCACTATTTATCCAGTGAAAAGGTTTATCCACCTTTCGCACAACTGGGCCCTGTACTTTAGTCAGCACAGGTATACTGTGTCGTCACAGACATGACTTTGTATACTTTAACACGTGCCATCAGTTTTCTCTTTGGTCTTGTAAACTAGGTGGCTGAGCTTTGAGAAAGTCATCAACGCTTTGCTTTCCAAGCCAGTTTATTACCTGAGTATAACAAAGCTACGCACCCATGCCAAGGAGAAGTGCTTCATCAGTGACGATGAAGAGTTTACCACCATGTGAATTTTTATCATGACCTGGGGATAATTATCAAGCACCGTAGCACAGTCACCTTGAGTGCCAAGTGGCTGATAGACTTGTTCGGGCAGCTGATCACTATTCCAGATTTTACGAAAATGGTAAGAAATACATTTTAAACGTGTTTTCAAACTTACAATGCTTTGTAGTGGCCCCCATTTTGGAGGACATCACGGGTGTCAAACCGTGCCGTAACAAATAAAAATGATTATGTCTCGTGCATTGCACGCTAGCTTTCATGTGTGACATCAGCACAATCTACCTTTAAAGGGGTGCAATGGAAGTACATTGCATGACTTGTAGAATTATCCTCAAATGTAGTCTTAAAGGAACGTCTCACAACAAAAAAGAGTGGAAAGATACATATACGTGTGCTGAAACCAGCGACTCTTTATGTCGAACAATCAGAACGCACTTTTATAGTTTCTGGAAGTGAAATTTGGACCTTAAGAATTTTCCGGAGAGTAAACCAAATAGAGGATTCTGGCATTTACGTGACGCTTTAAAGAGCATTCTATAGATTTGAAATCTGAGGTCTGTTTAAAAGGCTATGATCTTTTTTCGCCCCAGAAAGATTTATTCACAGTTATACTTTCTAGTCAGTCTTTCGTAACTTTCATTTTAGAGGTGTCCTCACACAAATCCGCAAATTACAAGGAGAAAAGTTTTCCTTGAATGTTTACTTAAAATGTTTAGTAGCTTATTTCTTTTAGAGAACTTGCTAAACTTTATTAGTATAACATTTAGAAATGTAAAATGATCCTGGAAGAAAGCTATTTTGAATAGTTTTGTGATCATTCAATCAATCAAATCAATCAATCAATCAGTCTTTATTCTACGTAAGATAAAAAGACATATCTTAAGAGCCATTTTCTGAGAAAATCGAGAATCGCAAGACACTCGTCAAAAAATCGAATTTTTTTTTATTTTGCCAAAACATCCCTTTTAGTGACCTAATTTAAGGAAAAATAGTTTTGGGTTCAAACGATTCATTTTAAAGGAGAAATTAAAAAAAGTTTGAAAAATCGATTTTATTCCTGTTTTTCGAACAAAACACGACAGGATGCAATGGCAACTTCGAGAGAAGGGTGAACGCGTAAGAAACATTCCCTGACATTGAAACTTCCCCGAATTATTATTTTGTTCTTACTCTTGAAAACCTTAAAAGAAAATTTGAAAAACAATGTCTTATATTTTTATAATCGACAAGTCTAAAGAGGTCATATTTGTAACGTTAGACGTGCTAGAAAACGAAGGCCAACTTTGACCATTAAAAAAGGCCTCTGGTATATGCCGCTTGATCATAAAATCAATATAAAATGGAACCTTGGCTTTTGTACTAACTTACTGGAAAGTTTTAGCTCTGGAAATCAAATACCATCCTGACACCAAAGCAAGCGGTGAGAGCAATTGAATTGGGAAATTTATGCAAATTAGACGGCTTGCGGACGGTTGTCAAACTAAAAGAAAGGTTTTACATGAAAGGATTACTCACCATTGCTTGTAACACGTTTTTACGGCAAGGAAAGTTATTTCCAACTTCTGTTGCGTCGATTTGAGTCACAAAATCAATAATTTTAAGCCAAAAGGTCCAAAAGACAAACGTACGTTTGCTCAGCGACTGCGCCAGAATCCGGCCGTGAATCGAAATAAAGTCACAACACGTCACTGCGGTCCTTTGGAAGCAAGAGTTGCAAGAATTTTTACTTCAGTCAGGAGGCCAAAAGATTGAAAATTCATCGCAAACTAATGACTTCGATTTTGAAAACCTTTCATTACTTCAATCGTTCGTCGGCTGATAATAAACATCGCACAAGATCGTATGACCTTTGGCGTGTGACCGGAAATCGGTCACACGCTTATGTCACGTTAGCATACTGTCACGAATTTTAATACGATTTTTCACCTTTGCTTTCGACAAAAAATAGACTCATCGAAATAAAATCAGGCCTGCTTTATTTGTTTGTTTGTTTTTTAATTTCTTTTATAGCCTGCAGAACTTGTTCCCCATGCATCGCGCGTGTCTCGCACCCCCAGTCCGCTTCGCAGTGCTAGCATGAAAAGCGCAAAAAACTGAAATTGACTCCTGTTCTGCAGTTGATTTCTTTTATAGATACCTTCTAGGCATTGACAGGCTGTGAAAAAAGTGTATTTTTTTTATTATTATTTTTTGAAGTGCTACATCATTTTCCTATAAATTTCAAACGTGACTGCTAAAAGACTGTTTGGAACCCATGGATGGAGAAAAGCTGTGCCGGAGAGAAGGTCAACCTCCCAGCCGAGCCAACTTTTGCGAGCGTTTGTATGAGGAAAAAACTGACCACTTTGTCCGAGTCAACAGTGCTGGCGGATGCTGTCTTTGTCTAGCCTTGACCGTGTCGTCCCAGCTAGCTGGGCGAGCCAAAGTGAATAAATATTAGCCGGGCTAGAATTGTGAGGCCACCACTACCGGCTCAGTGGAGGGCTGACTTCCGGAAGCCCTCAACCCCGCCCACTATTGGTAGTAAGGCGTCTATCCGAACCAACCTTTTGTTTCTCATGTAAATGGTTTACCAAGTTTTGTAAGGAAATGGATGAAAAGTTGGCTCGCCCAGGGTAGCTTAGCCTCCCCCGCAGGCATTTTTAGGGGAGCTCGTATTTCTTCCCTCCCCACTGTGGAGAGGGAAGAAATACGAGCTCCCCTAAAAATGCCTGCGGGGGAGGCTAAGGGTAGCTTGGGAGGTGAGTAAACACCAGATAACCCCAATAATAAGCACAAACTTTGATTGTCAGTTAGATGTCCACTATTTTAAGTAAGCGACCTGGCATGTGATTGTCGCATCCATGTCCCCTTCCAGATCCCCTTTATTATCGGTAAGCCTCTGATAGGTCAAAGTAATACAGTCGTACCTCCAGTAAGCGACCACCAAAAATGCAAAGACTTAATGGTCTCTAACGGGAGGTGGCCGTTTAGAAGAATCGGACCACATGGGGTCTATTCCGAGAAGAGGTCCGGGCACTTTCTATTAAATGGCGGTGTAACAAATTCCTGGCAAAATATTATCTTTTACCTCTTTTGAAAAATACAGCTTTTAAATCATGCTCAATTTAAAGAGGAATTCAGGTGAGTGAGATATAGAATAGTCTAGAATCACAACAGAATCTTCACTTTGTTGGCTACATCTACTAAGTTAAGATATGTGTAGTTCCACGATGTCACTAAAGGTCTTTATATTTTCCAAGGAACATAGTGCACACAGCAAAAATAGAGAGCAGAGAATGCGTCAACTGGTCGCTTATGGAAAACAATTAACCGTGACGCCCAAAAAGTGGTCGCAGTCACTTACAGAAGGTCGTTTACTGGAGGTTCCAAATATAAGGCTTTGAATGGGAAAATTTGGTCTTTTGGATTGGCGGTCGCACATGGAGGTTCGACTGTGTTAGGTCTATTAGAGTATGAGCCACCATCACCTCACTGTGAGTGACGAGAGCCAGGAACGTATAGTATACACTCCCTTAGGATGCACAGAATCGTTGTTTTGAGGTCCCGTTTAAATTAGCGAAATGGATCATTCAAGGGAGGTGCTGAAGTCCCTTAGTGAAATTTATAAGGTTTATGGGTTTTTAGTGCAAGGCGAAACACAATACTTAGGGCCCTGTTGTTCAAACGTTGAACAACAGGAAATCACTATCAAGCGAATAAGAAGAAGCAATTGCGTTACTTATTGGATATAGATTTATCCAGGGGAAAGCGTTAGTCCCGGGGGCGTTAGTCAACTTTTCGAACATACAGCCCCTAAGTCACTCTCCTCCGAAGACTTACCCTGGGCGACCAGGATAGGGGAATATAATACTCGACCTTCCTTGCATCATCGCGAGAGCCTATAGCCTTCACTTTCTTTTGGCTCGTCCTATAATCCTACCCAACGTTCGTGGGACAGGAAAGTCTGCGTGCGAGGCTTGGGAATCTAGGGAGACTATGGTAGCATGGTGCAAATAGCCGGGATGAGCTACTTTGTCCACACTAACCATGAGGATTGTGTCTGCTAGAAGAAATCAGATGTAGCTTTCTGTGATAAGTAATATTCCAACAGTATAGGATCATAGTTTGAAGCCATTTCACAATCACTAGTTTCCGCGCACCTCTACCGGCGAGTTGTGGACAAAAGCAGCTGATAGCTGTATACGAACCTTTCTTCCACAAAATAGTTTCTGGGTTTTCGTATTCGACAGTGTCATGTATTGATTTTTTTAAATCTTAATCGAGGTCTTTTTTATTATGTACTGTCAGGAGCCTATGGTACTGTCTATCTGACTGACTGTTTCTTTGTGTGTTTTTTTTTTTCTGGTAATAACAGGTTTCATAATTTGGTCGCGGTTGGGGTTATAGGCTCCTGATCGTGAGCAAATAGCGAAAACCAAAGTAAACTATAGCGTTGAATCCGTTGGCCACGGAGAATTGGTATTATTCTGCAAGTTCTTTACTACAGCAAGAGAGTATACTCCCTTGACTACGGGACATTGGGCCGGGGGAACTTAGTATTTTGACCCGGCATAGGGGAGGAGGGGAGGGGGAGGGGGTACCCTGGCCAGATTCCAAGTCACGGGGATGATCGAAGTATGTTTTTTTCTTGGTTTGAAAGTATTTTGAACAAAAAAAATTTTTTTTTGCTGTGACTTTACTTAAGTATTCAAAATATTCGTTCTTTTTTGGTCTTGATTTTCGCTTCCACGGGGTCACTCACGACACTTGGAATCCGAGGTACCCCTCCTGTTTAGTACTTCGAAGGCAAAAAAGCTGTTTCCAAGCCTAGTAGGTAAATAAAAGAAAAATAAATATGCATGGCTGTTTCTACTGCGATGAGGGGAGTTCTTGTCAAAAAATGTGAAAACTGTATTAAAATTGCTGACAACAGCTACGAAAATTTCGTGACAGCATGCTGACGTGACTGAAGCGTGTGACCAATTTCCGGTCACACGCCAAAGGTCATACGATCTTGTGCGATGTTTATTATCAGCCGACGAACGGTTGAAGCGATGAAAGGTTTTCAAAATCGAAGTCATTTATAGTTTGCGATGAGTTTTTATTCCTTTTGCCTTCTGACTGAAGTAAAAACTCTTGTAACTCTTGCTTCGACGCGTTAGGACTTTCGATTCACGGCCGGATTCGGACGCAGTTGCTTAGCAAACGTACGTTTGTCTTTTGGCTAAAAATTATTTATTTTGTGACTCAAACCCGGACTCAAAACGACGCAAAAGAAGTTGAAAATAACTTTCCTTGCCGTAAAAACGTGTTACAAGCAATGGTGAGTAATCCTTTCATCTAAAACCTTTCTTTTTAGTTTGACAACCGTCCGCAAGCCGTCTAATTTGCATAAATTTCCCAATTCAATTGCTCTCACCGCTTGCTTTGGTGTCAGGATGATATTTGATTTCCAGAGCTAAAACTTTCCAGTAAGTTAGTACAAAAGCCAAGGTTCCATTTTATATTGATTTTATGATCAAGCGGCATATACCAGAGGCCTTTTTTAATAGTCAAAGTTGGCCTTCATTTTCTAGCACGTCTAACGTCACAAATATGACCTCTTTACACTTGTCGATTATAAAAATGTAAAGTATTGTTTATCAAATTTTCTTTTAGGATTTTCAAGAGTAAGAACAAAATAATAATTCGGTGAAGTTTCAATGTCAGGGAATGTTTCTTACGCGTTCACCCTTCTCTCGAAGTTGCCATTGCATCCTGCCGTGTTTTGTGCGAAAAACGAGCATAAAATCGATTTTTCAAACTTTTCCTAATTTCTCCTTTAAAATGAATCGTTTGAACCCAAAACTATTTTTCCTTAAATTAGGTCACTAAAAGGGATGTTTTGGCAAAATAAAAAAAAATTCGATTTTTTGACGAGTGTCGTGCGATTCTCGATTTTCTCAGATAATGGCTCTTAACAGTGATTTTCTGTAAAATTCGAACTTCGGCCTGACACGGTACCTCATCGATTTGGCTGATTTTTGGCATGTAGTCTTAGAATGGTGTCCTAAATACTGAATGCATATTCTAAGGTTCGAATTCTCGTTGGTTTCAAAGATACAGGAATGACAGTTTTGACGAGGCCTCGAGCGGCCGCCATGTTGGTGAACTGAAGGAGATTTACAGTAATTAATTCTAGCCTTATCATTAAAATAACTTAATCGTGACTCATACAGTTGCAAAGAACTATCCTTCCCCCTTTCATTTACCTACTCTTATCTGAAAATGGTTAAGCCTGAGCTACGAACGGCTATAACTTCTCACAGCACTTTTTCGGTACTTAACAGGTACACAAATTTGGTAGAAATTGGAAGGCCAATATCACCCATGCCACATCGATTTAGACTAAGCCATTTTAACTAAACATAGTTTGTTTATAGCTAAGTTAGATTGTTGAATAAAATAATTGGGCAAATGCAACGGAACAGAAATATGATTGCATGAATGCGCAGTGGTTCAGCCACTTGGCCGCTAAAACTTCAAAACAAAATTCGGTGAATATTTGAAAAGAAAATTCTTTAAAAATTGATCGTGCCTCTTAAACCCTATCTATCGCTTAAAAAACCCTCCCTTGTAATGTAAACAGATGATCTTTTGATTCTGATCTTGCGAAGAGCTTGAAATATACGCTAAAATGAAGATTATAAATTTTGTTACACACGGTACTAGCTCAAGTTCGCTCTTCGATTTCCCAGACCAATCGGGAGCCGCTCGTGTACTGCACAGTTACAATTTTCTCTGTAGTATTTCGCTGTATACAGCTACAAATTACATATTTTCTTAGGAAAAGATAACGCAAACGTTGTCAATTTTAATCAAAAGGCTAGAAAAACCAACCGTGCACTGTAGCTTTATGCAAATTGTGTGGTATTCGATAATTACACGTGTAAACAGGAACCTGCCTTTGCTAATGTACACTGTTTGGTAGATCTTTCCAGCGTAAGATATAAAACTAGTACATGAAATGAAATTAAAGAACTCATCAAGTCAAATTACCTGATCCCGTCATTACTGAATAATAAGTCCGCAAAATATGGCATGGAATGATCGGTGGGAGACGAAGCTATTTTTAGGAGGACAGGGAACTGCACGCTGGAACGGAACTGAAATGAACAACCTCAATCAAGTTCAGTCTTCTTGACGCTATTAAACGTTTCACCCGAATTTGAACAGGAAGTTGTTTTCTATTTTCGTTCTCATTCTTGCATGTATTCTGCAGTTCGCCCACTATTTTTTCGTAACTTTTAATTTTCTAGCTAACTGGAACTGTTAAGAACTACCAACCCCCCTCCCCCCTCCCCCTCTTTGAGTGAACTTTCATTCGGTCTGATTCACAATAATTTTCGAACGGTGACAAAGTGAAATTTGAAATGACATTTTATTTAGCATTTTTAAAAGCTCCTTCTTTTTTTCCCGATAGCCAGGAATGTTTTGAACGTAAAGGCTCAAGTGGCGGTGTTTTTCACGACTCTGCTTGTAGACTGACCTCACCACCAGTACCACGGACATAAAATCTGATCGCAGAGGGTCATACAGTAACTGATGGGTCTCTGAAAAGCGAAATGCAGTCACTTTGGGGCGAGGAGGCTATATAGATGATGAACTCATTGTTTATAACCCCATAACCGTATCCCAAAAGTCAAGCCAGCCCGGGGCGAGCGAACACAATTTTGGGGGCACTGGCCACGCCCTTATGTTTAGCGGGAAATTGGTTGATTAGTCAAATCTCCTTAACTCCACGACCATGCACCTTTCCAAATATAGCCCTTCTAATCATCATATAGTTAGGGCCTCCCGTAAGCATTTGCAACTATTTTGATTTGTAGAAGACTGTTTAACAGTTTTCATTACTTTAATGTCTCGTAAACAACACGAGGTACATGTTCTGATCTCTCCCCCCCCCCCCACCCCTTCCCCCATCCATAACAAAAAATTTTCAGACCAACACTGAATTGCATGAAGGTATGTACAAAAAATATGACCATCTCGAGGCAAGGTTCATCACTGTAACTTACCACATAAAAGCCTTTTCGTTGTTTGCCATCGACTGATTCTGTTCTGAATACTAAGATCCCATAAACAACGCCGCGTTTAGAAAGAGCCCGCCCTTTTCAATCCAAGAAAACTCAAGTAGCAATTTCACCAACGGACATAAGCCGTAAGGAAAGGACCGCGTCAAAAAGTTCATGAAATCACAAACGCCTCAGGACACCTTTAATTCACTCTTTTTTCGATAAACTAATTTTTAATTTTTAAGCATAAATGACATCAGAATGCGCGATTATGAGCATTGTAGCTTATGAAAAGAAAATTTAACACCTGATGCACATGAAAGCGTCTAAGAAGGGGACTAGGAGGAATTAGGAACATTGTGCTTACCGCTGGAAAAATATTGGCTAGTTCTTTGAATAGACTCAATTAAAGCCGTTTTTGTTCAGTAAGGAGCTGTTAGATGGGGGAAAAGCTAAATAAAGTAGATCGCATTAGAATACGGCATAGGACTAGGCTCTCAAAATCGATAAGCTGAATGCAAGACCAATTATTATGTAAAACAGAGAAAAATTCCTTGAGGGAAAAAAATTATGGCTAGGGAAAAGACCCGAAGGTGGAAAGTTAGGATGGTAGCTTCTTTTCAGGTAATCGATCATTTACGTTAACTTCCGCTATCCGACGGGCATATCGGAAAGACTGAATGGATGAGAGTATCACACATTCAAGAAGAAACAAATTTGTGATTTTTCACAACTCAATAAAATAACTAAAATTGTGTACTACTCGGTTATACAAGATTTTTGTTTTCAATTTCAGATTTTTACGATGGGGCAGTAGCCCCCGTACTCACTAGACACTACTTTACCATCATCGTGTTAAAATCAGTGAAATACTCCAAAACAATTTGGATTCCTACCCTTATACCTTTATTAAAAATTAAAGTTGGGAAGTTTGTTGTTTTCTAAAAGTAGTTTGAACAGCCGAACGACATTTTTTTACACGGAGTGGGGAAGGCAAAGCTTCACTTATCTCTTCTAAGGTAGAAAGTGTCAGCAAAACGTGAGAGTCGTCCTTGAGGGTAAAGTGTCTAACCTTATTTTCTCACCGATTGCAAGTGCCATTTCATCCACGCAAAACCTCACCTAGTTAACAGGTGAGCAAATGTAGTGGGGAAACGTTGCGAGAGAACTGAGTAAGATGCTAGGGTAAGTTTTGGAAATTTTCCGCACACCTGGAAAGTCCTGGCTACGCTCCTGATAGAGACTTTTGCTGGAGAGAAATTGAAACATGTTCGCTAATATAGTGACGACCAGAAAGGACAAGCCATAGGATAGTTCCAGAAAACCACCCATTAAAATAGATCACGAAGTTGTCGCGGCGGAGGATGAACTTGAAAGCATCTGATGAAGTGCAATTTTTCAAGGGAGCCCAGACAAGATTATGTACGATGGGCACAGCTTGTTTGATCTGGAAAATTTAGAGAAGCTCAAGGCAAATCGCTAGACAACACATGCTAGAGCTGAACTAAAAATCTTTTGCGCCTCTGAACTCTGTCCGTAAGGGTAAAGGAGAAAGTTTCCCTTTATCAATGCATTAACCGAGTTGATTATGAATGTCTCCTTATGTTGGACGTCTTACTACAAGCACATTACCACTACTTGCCCTCAGAGGCGTTTTTCAGTTGACGAGCAGAGAAAATTAGGTTTTGACTGTTTGAAATTCTGGATGCCAGAGTGAAGACGCCTTTTGTATGATGACGTCATCGTCCTACAGTAAAAAGCGTTCGTTTTTTACCACTGATATTACGTCCATCGGTACACTTATGTTGTCGAAAGGTCCGTGAGCATGGTAAATAATTTTACCTTAAACTGCAGACACATCTTCAATCACTACTTATTGTTCGCGATATCGGATAAACACTCTGGTCTCTAACTGAATTTTCTTTGCTGTTTACTTTATTTTGAATTAGGACTGTCTTGAGTTGTCCATGCATTGTCTAGCGATTTTAAGCTTTTTCAAGGAAACAAAAATCTGGAATTGTCCCTAGGGTGAGGCATTTGCGCACAGTTTAAAGCCCTTCGGTGGGGTGACTGTGGTTTTTGTTGTCCCGGGCTCATCCCTCATTCTTCTTAACCCCTTCCAAACCAATTTTTCTGTTTATCAAGAATCTCCTCAAAACGGGCTTCGTGATTGAGACAAAATACCTGAAAATTGTACACGGAACCGTTGTTAACGGTGTACAAGGTAGAATGAGTCTATTCATTACTTTGCCAACGCCCAATTTTTAAAACCGGAAGTAATGATGTTTATTTCAAGGGCTCATGTCTCATGAGTTTTGAGTGAATCTTCAAACGTTGTAAATACATGTAGCTGGAACTATCATCGCATCGATCCTCGCTCACTAATAATGATAACTTATATCAACTTCCATTATTTATTGCCTGGCTAAGATTTTCACGGATTCTTCAGTTCAGTTGTTTGAAACCAGGCGGCTTCACGTGAGTTGTAACGCTAGGCAAGGAACGTGACGACCCGCGATATGCGTGGGAAAATATTACTTTTTTTCGATCAAGGTGGAAACTGGCAACTTTGTCGTCGAGTAAGGTAATACATCTCAATTTTCGTTACTATGGTTTATTTTAAAAGCTCTGGTTTCGGTAAAGGAACTGGAGGAAAATCAGGAAAATTCCTGTTCGACTGTGATTGTTGGATTTTGTTTACGCGTCATAGCGTAAACATAACAAATTCATTTTCCTTTTCCTTATACAATCTGCCTTTTTTTACACTGTTTTTCGCAGCAGAGTTATCGATTATATTAAAGAGGCTAATTTTATTACACAGATCACTCAGATTTAATGACAGAAACTCTATTATCGATTGTAATTTTGGCAACACCTGGCGAGTATTCGGTGTACAGATTATTGACAAAGTCGCTAAACAGTCTTCCATTCATTGCTTTTGTTTCTGCTCCGTTAAATTTGCCCAATTTTTTTATTAATGAACTCGATTTAAATACAAACAGTGAGTATTCAGGCAGATTGGCAAGCTTCAATGCGATGTGGCAAAAGAGATATACGCCTTTAAAATTCTGTTAATTTTGCGGGTGTAAAAAATTCAAAAAGTATACCCACCAAAAGTTTAATCGATCGTTGCGAAAACGTTATCAATTTCGAAGTAGTTTCTAAAAATACAATAAAGAGGGATTGTTCTTTCAATCTGTATTGGCAAAGGAAGATTAGCTTTGAAGACAGGGTTGTAGTCGAAGGCTCAAAAGCAGCTTCTATTAACCAATATGGCGCCGGTCCGAGGCACCCAAAAACCGGCCATGTCGATAATTTCCGAAGTAGGAGGAATTAGAACCTAAAGTTACCTATTCCTTATTAAAGACCTCAAATCAAGTCTACATGCCAATTTTTAGCCAATTCGGTGAGATAGTGTGGCAGCGCCTTTTTAATATAGCTCGAATCTTAGGGATGCACCATTAGAAATGTGAAGGGGGGGGGAGTCCAAAAACAAAAAAAAAAATCCTGCAAAACAAAATTTTAAGAAAAAAAAATCCTGCATTGCAACGAAACCAGAAAAAAATATCCTGCTTGGATAACCAATGTGACTGCGACAATATATTACACAGTCTGAAAAATAAATCTGTGATCTGTAACAGGAAATCCCCTTCCCCCAACTTCCTAAATTCATGTCAAACTACATTTCAGGCAGAAAAAACAATTTCTACTGGCTAAATAGAGATTTCAATTTGAACCAACTCTGATGCCCTTGATCTCTATAGCTGCCATAGTATTAAATTAAGAGACTGTGGTGATAATTGTTTAACTTTATAAATTAAATAAACTTTTTTATTGAAATACTTTTGTTTTAATGGGATTAAAGTGAGATTGTGTTAACAACGTCAATAGTTCCACTTGCACGCAAGTTTATGGAGTTGGTGTTGTACAATATGCGTTGCTACTTGAATCCATAAAGTTTACAGCTATAAACAAAAGTAGATGTCCCAAAAACACCAATCACACTGCAGATCCCGCTGCATTTAAAAGTATTAAGAATATTATTTACCCAAACTAACACAAAATATTTTGAATGCTTTGCAAAACCATAAATAGAAATGGTGCATTCTAATAAAAACTTGAACCTAAACATATGGGCCACAGACATATGGTAGGATTTAGAGGAAATGTTCTTCAAGTTCTTCCTCTGTATCCCAGTCCTCGCCTGATGAAGACTGACATGCTGGCTGCAGTTTTACTTCTTCTTTTTCTTCTTCTTCTTCTTCTTCTTCTTCTTCTTCTTCTTCTTCTTCTTCTTCTTCTTCTTCCTTTTCTTTCTGTTTTTCTGTCTCTTGTCTTCCCTCAGGTTCTTTCTCTGTTCAAGTTTTTCATGTGCAGAGACTTGGAACGGAAAATGTACATGTACAATAAAAGGGGACTGTTCAACTATTATTTCCTAGAAATGTACAAACTTCTCATTCAAAGCGAGGACACAACATACATTTCACAAATTACTATTTTAAAGGCTATGTTCTATTTGTATTAACTCTTTTTGGTTGGTTGGAATTTTTTGTTTACTTTGGGTAAAACACCGTTTGATCTGCTTGTGTAGCTGTTTCAACTGCCACTGAACTCAGTTCGGACGTTTGAACATATAGATTACTTCATGGGCAGCGCGGGCGTACGGTATTTACGCACGAGTTGGTTCGCATCAGAAATTGAACGAGCAAGGCTTTGCGAGTGAGATCCAGAAAGCGAGAGAGATTTATCTGACATACAATGCGAAAAAAGTCCATGTCTAACACTGCACGTGTTTAGGTGTCCTATTACATTATGTACTAAACATCTGTGACTGGACGAAACGCTTTTTTTTCACGTGTGTGAAAGTCGTTTCGCCATTCTGATTGGCTGCGAACCCTGAACAGGGTTTTCACACGCCAAATTTCAATAGAAAATCTCAATTAGTATGAAAAAAATATACTTAAAACAAACGTGTTCTGTTGGAACACTACAACAAAAAACATTTGCGCGGTTGAAACAGTCTAGTAAAACAAGACCAAAAGAGGGCATAGTCATTTTGGAAAAAAAAAATCGTGCAAGGGTTTGAAGGTTGAAAAAAAAATCCTGCACTCCTGCTGGTTGTGAAAAAAATAACATGCCTTTCCAGAAAGTCCTACCCCCCCCTTCACATTTCTAATGGTGCATCCCTTACAGACAACTGCTCTTTTAAAAGTTACATCAGCAGTTAGGATTCTAAAAATACATACGACATACTGTATACAAATAATAGAAAGATTAAAGATTATATCTAAAAATATCTATTTACAAAAACATTCTTAAATGTATCAGTCTTTATACCCGAGCAATGAGCACTTTTGTTTCTGAGTTGTTACTTTGTTTCTTTCTTCTTCGGAAAGATGTTACTAAGCTGGCAATCGGGATCCACTGAACGTACCTTGAAAAGCTTCTTATCTGCCTTTTCTAAAATTTCTCGAATGTCCATTCTCTTAGATGTGTATTTCCTTTTAAAACATCTATCCAAAACGTTTTGTATGACCGTGAGATCTGAGTCTACAGCACTATAAACAGGCAGACCATAAGTGAAATTCGGTAAAACTAAGGCGCTAAATAGGTGGCTACTTCAACTTGACTAAAACCTTCCATCCGTAAAAAATCTTAATACAAACAGACACTAACAGTATTTGCCTTAATCAACTTAACACGTACGTGTTCGCTATATTTACAATTCTCCAGAAACCTAACACCTAAAATGAGCAGTGAATGTTATTAACTTGCACAATATCCTGAATAAAACCTTTCTTGCGAAAAATAATTTCTTTACATTCCTCTTGTTATTCCGTCTTAGGTCCCTAAGTTTGCAAAGCACTGGAAGGAGGTCGAAGAAAGCGGTGTTCTCAGCATGGAACTGCTTGATCATGTGTTTTCCAAATTTCTTCTGGAGGGCGTTGCCAGAAAAGACATTCTGGATTTGATGGAACAATTTGGATTGATTGCAAAATTTTCATCTTTAAAGACGGGTGAAAAGTATTTCGTTCCATCTCAACTCAAAGCGTCACCTGATTCCCTTTGTTCCATGGCGCCCTCAAGGCTGGACCCTTGTCCTCTGTTTGTTTACTTTGTCAGCGGTTCTGTTCCCCATGGTCTGTTCACTCGGCTTGTTTCTCGATCTGTCCGTTGGTGTTCAGAGGCTGGTCCAAGTCAGCCCCCTACCCTGTACCAAAATGGAGCGTGGTTTATCATTGGGAAGCAAACTTTCCATGATTTTGTTCTTATTTGTAAGAAGCAGTTTATTAAGTTTTTTATCAAGCAAAGAAACCAACTTCAGCAGATCTCGGTGGATTGCACAAGTGAGGTAGCAGTGCATGTTCGTGAGTTTGTGGAGGCAACTTTGCAGGTTTTGTCTCGTGATCTCTATAAAGGTGGATTGCAGTATCATATTCGGGTCGCCTGTCCGTATTGTCAGCTGGAAAAGTGATCAAGGCATGATCAGATTGCATGTTCTCATGAAGATTGTCTTCATCTCCTTGAGTTAAGACAAGGCGATCCTCTGATTTGCAAGAAGAAACCTGTTGAGGAGGTACTCACAGTTAAGGGACAGCAAAAGTGGTTCTCGCAACCAGAAATTAAGGTAGGTAGCAGTGAAATACGATCTCTAGCAGTAGTCTTAGCAAATTTCATATAGCAAGTGAATACACATACTACTCATAAAAAATTATGTCCTTAAAATAAAAAGGTTTCAACAAAGTCTATGCATCTGGTTTGTCAGATTATAGTATGATGTACAACGTATTCCTTCATTTATCCTACCACAAGCCTCCTTGCAGTGTATGAGAAGGCTTTGTTGCTGTCAACTTAACGAACATTGGTTCTTAATATCAAGTCGGTTGATAAGGTCAATTGGCTACCATCTATTACTAATTGTTATTGGCCTGTTGGCATTAAGCAGTGGGTATATAACTTTTTCTCAAGTCTTTTTAATGTGCTGTTTTGCTTTAATGTTGAGTAATAAGTTTATAGCATCTAACGTGTTGATAACATGTTTTGCAAACTTTCACTTCAAAATGTAGAAACCCCCAGATGTAAAAGTTTATATTTTAAAGTGCGCAATTTTGGTTGCTATGCAGGAGGCGTGTACTCAATCATCATCACCTGATACTGCACAAGCTCATCCAGGGAGTCTTGTACTAAGAGTTGCCCTTCTCGCGAATGAGTGGGGGTCGTCCAAGGGTGGCTTGTCAACGATAAACAGAACTCTTGCCATACATTTGGCAAAAGACGCAAACGTAGAAGTCACCATTCTTGTACCTGAATTTGAGTGTGGCGAAGAGGATAAGAGAGCTGCCGAAAGTCACAACATTGCCATCCGGGAAGCAGAGCGCCTTCCTGGCTTCAGTGATCCTCTTGACTGGTTGAGTTTTCCACCAGATGACCTTGACATTCAGGTTGTGATCGGCCATGGAGCAAAGCTTGGCAGACAAGCACAAATTATCAGAAAGTCCCGTCGATGCAAGTGGATGCAGGTTGTTCACACTGAGCCTGAAGAGCTGGGGATGCATAAGAACTATCCAAGGGCCATTGCCAAGGGAGAAGGGAAGAACAGAGCTGAAGTTGACCTTTGTCAAATTGCAGATCTCATTGTAGCCGTTGGACCCAAGTTGAAAGAAGCGTTCTCGTCCAAGTTGCGTTCATCTCGTCGAGATATCCTTCAACTGATACCAGGTTCCTTCGCAGAGTTTTCAAGCATTGAACATGCTGTACAAGAAAGTGTAAATTTCAAAGTGTTAGCCTTCGGTCGCGGTGATTTCGAAGACTTTAGTCTTAAAGGATACGACATTGCCGCTCAATCCATAGTTGAATTGAAGGACAGTTCCTATAGTCTTGTTTTCGCTGGTGCGCCCGATGGAAGGCAGGATGAAGTCGCAGAAATCTTACTCCAGACTGGCATTTCAAAGAACCAGCTGATTGTCAGATCATTTGTGAAAGACAAACAAAGATTGAGAGAGTTGTTTTGTGAAGTCGATCTGGCCATCATGCCATCAAGAACTGAGGGGTTTGGTTTGACAGCATTGGAAGCCATGTCAGCTGGTCTTCCCATTCTGGTTAGTGGAAACTCCGGATTTGGAAAAGCACTGCGTGGTCTTCCAATGGGTGAATCATTTGTGATCGACTCCGATGACCCCAAGGAATGGGCAAAGGAAATTGCAGCCATCCGTCAAAAATCAAGGACACAGCGTCTTGAGGAAATCCAAAGACTGCGAAGATGTTATGATGAAAGATTCTCTTGGGAGAGACAGTGCCAGGCCCTTGTTGACAGGATGTGGACGATGGTTTATGGTAAGAAATCAAATTCACCGATAGTAAAGTAACAATGATAATAATAATTAGTTCTTGAAAATGTGAAAATGCATATCTTATCAAGATTATCCTTCATTTGACCTTCATCATTCATCGCTGTATGTCCATGGCTTCTGCATAAAATACATTCGAGAGCATAAATACGTTTTTACTACATTATATTTCGTGGTCCATGTGCATCGCTGTAGAAATGTTGTCCTTAACCTTTTTAACCTTAATGTTAACATTCACACTCTCCACACTGTTCTCCATACATATCTTGTGTTACTGATTAGGAGAATTTGTTTAATAATCAAGATCTTTTTTACCGGCTTACCAATTCCATTCTTTAAAACTTTTATGTATAATTTTATAAAATGTTGGCTACACTTGAAGGAGTTAACGATAAAAAAAAATTAAAATCTATAACATTGCGATACATCAAAGTCATCTGATTTCTATTCATATGCCGCAGTAATGGTGGGGTTCTCTTGTATATAAAAGAAAATAACAACAAAAGCCCAGCCAAACTTTTGGCTTATAACTTATTACAAAAAATGAATGGAGGGCTTTTAAGGTTGGAATTTTTCTTTTTTTAAGAGTGACATTTTTTGTTATAATCAACACTTTTTGTTTAATTTACAGGTCTTGAAAAAACCAAAGAAGGTGACGTTCCACCGAACGACTGTGAAAAAGTTGGTGCAGCAGGACCGAAGGCAGGTAATGTAATTGTTTGCTTTGTCAATAAAAGCAAAGACAAAATTTATTTTGCAGTAGAGTGCGGTTATTTTCTTCTGTTGAACAAGGGTGCTTTCGATTATTCGGATGCTTTTAGCTTTTCAATGTTTAGTGTAGCATCTCTGAGTATTTAAATTGACTGCTAATTTTAAACTTTATAGGTGTTGATAAAACCAAAGAAGATGACGTTCCACAAAATGGTTTTGAAAAAGATGCTGCAACAGGACCGATGGCAGGTGAAGTCATTGTTTGCTTTGCCAATTAAACCAAAGCCAAAATATATTTTTGCAGTAGAGTGAAGTTACTTTGTTCTTTTAAAATCACAGTAATTTTTCTGAAATTGTCGACTGTTGTAAGCTTCAGACCAATGCACTGTGCTGCACCTGTTTTATGGAACTCGCTGCCATTAAGTAAAAGAGCAAGTAGGAGCCTTGCCATTTTTTAAAAGGATCTTAAAACATTTCTTTTTAGGCCGGAGAGCTTATAATTTACTAGAATAACTCTGAAGTTTAGTGGTTAATTTTGTATAGAATTAGACTTTTTAGATTTTCGCAGAGCATGGAATTTTTTTATTATTATTATTGTTAATATTAGCTTTTTAGGATTTTTTTTAATTGTAACTTAATGTGAAGCGCTTTTGAATATTTTATAGTTCTAGTACTATACAAATTCTTTATCATTATCAAGATCATCATCTCCTATAAAACTGGCTTGAAATAACCTCTACCGTAAAATTCCGAAAATAATCTCCGGAGCTTATATTTTTCAAAGGTTCTTTTTGAGGGGCTTATTTTTGGAGGGGCCTATATTCGGAGGGGCTTATCTACGGAGGGATATTTGCGTTTCAAAATCGATTAAGCTTCCCTTATAGATGGAAGTAAATTTACCATTTTTGCTTTGTTTCACTCTGTATTTGAGGGCAAGTACCATCCCCCTGGGGGCTTATATTTGGAGGGGCGATTTAACGGAGGGTTTTTAGCGTTACCGGTCTGGGGGGCTTACATTTGGAGGGGCTTATACATAGAGGGGCTTATTTTCGGAATTTTACGGTATCTTATTTTGTCTTTTTCATCTTCCGCTTTCAGGTGAACTCATTTTCCGTGCACTTCAACAAATCCTGCTGGAAGCACGCATAGAGTCCAGCAAAACTGAGCTTTCGCAGGCTTTAAAGAGGACTTCGTTGGAAAAAGGTTTTGCGATATCTGACAATCAAGGAGAGGGAAACTGCATGTTTTTTGCACTTTCAGAGCAGCTTGTCCTCATCAAAGGAATTCAAATCTCCCATGATGAGTTACGCCGAACTATTGTTCAACACCTTCGGGAAAACCCCAGGCTGGTAAGTATCTTATTACCTTATTAGGGTGCACACATTTACAGTATACGAGCATAGCTGTGGCATTTGCCCGCTACATTGTTTTAATTCCTCTTAAAGTTAAAAAAAAATAAGGCCCTGTCCACACGTATCCGAAATACGCATCCACACGAAGCGTATTTGAATCTTTTTCGCCCGTCCACATAAAAACGCTAAAATGATTGAAATACGATAGCAGCCATTTACAGAGCATGCGCAATGTTGTATTCTAAATCCTCTGTATTCGTCCATCCGCACGTCGCTTTCTAAAATGTCCACTCTTGGGAACATTTGTGAAACCTGCTTCTTCGGCGCCCGAAAATGCCGACCACGTGTGGACGGAAGGCTAAAATGGACAAACAAATCTGCGATTTAAAAAAAATATACATCCGGATACGTGTGGACGGGGCCTCAAATTCCTACGATTGGATATGACGGCTTTACGGGTATGATGCAAATGAATCCACCCTTTATGAGCAAAACATCAGCTCTGCATGAGCATCACGCTTGTTTGTACTTTGCTTCGTCGTTCACTGCACGACTGCGACGCAAAACGTCCGTATGCGACGTTTTGTGTAGGGCACCGAACCCCCACGGGTAATTATTGTTTTCGGGCTGGGATACAGTCATTAAGAACCCAAAACTAAGAAAACTCGTCGACTTATGTTAAATTAAGCATTACGATAAAGTTTGAGAGAACGCAAATTCTTTTCCCAAGTTACTTTTCGAGTCGGAGACATAAATGGATACGGAGAAATTTTTTTATTTCTTTTTGTCGGCTCGATCGTCATGCTCATGTCCTATTTTATTTTTTGCGGTATATTGCTAAACTTGAAATGTCGACCAACACCAGTTTTGTGTGAACAGGATATGACTACATACTGGTTTAAAAGTCGCAATTTCCAAACTCACTTTATTTTAACAGTAAACATCCCTTCCCTCCCCTCTCTGTCTCTCTTACAGGTGTAACGGACACCTCCCTAAAACCTCCTAAACCTACTCCACCTCCCTAAAAGTGTTGGTCCCTGCCGTTCTTAACTGTTGTTTTTTTTTTTACATTTTTAAGGAGAGTAGTATAGGTCACACAGGTTAGACCCCTTTTGGTAGTCGAATCTTATTACTGTGATGACATGACATCTTTATCTTAGCAATAAAATGCGGTGGAATCTCTTCAGGATAACTTCACGAGCTATTTTTATGTAGTATTTAGTATATCCAATTATTCTTATATTGATGATGTAACTTGTTGGGATCTTGTCCTTAGTTTCTGAGGATGATGTCGTAGATCATTCGAAATTATGTGCGTCATGTTTTTATTTGGTCATGAAGACACCTCTGAACCATGACGCCTTCATTGTCCATTGCAGACAACTTGATCTGTGTTCACACTATACCGTATAGTTTTTTCGCGGGCACGAGAATCATACCGGATGGGGTATCAGTTCACAAATAAGAACGGTGATTTCGGCGCGATTTCTGTTCAACGGAGAGAAGCTGTGCCTCGCCGATCTCTTAAGTTGAGAGTCACATATCGGATAGATGTTCACACTATACCGGGTGGCTTTTCGTGTCGTCACCAAAGCTTATCTGGTATAGTATGATCATAGCTTTATTGTTCTGGTTCCGGTTTACTGATTCTTGGTGCGCAAAGGAGATAAAGACGTCATCGACGTTAATTTATTTGACTTTAAAAAAAGACGTCTACCTGGCTCGTCCTATACTACTAAGGTGAACAAATCTTTGCTTTAATACTTTAATAGGGATACTCCTAAAACAGTGTACACTATACTAGTGCTGATACTAGCGTGGTCAGCCTTAGAGAGAACAGACAGCGCGGCTGTCTAAATAAAATACCTTCTAAAAAAGCACTGTAACTTTTTCTCTATTAACTACAGTAGTTGTTTCTTTCTTACAGCCGGATGGGACAGAACTGTTTCATTTTGTTGGTGGATATCCATCTTGGGATGCCTACCTCACAAGTATGATGGCAGATGGTATATGGGGTGATCACGTGATTCTACACGGCGCGGCAAACTACTTGCAAACGTGCATCCATGTGATCAGCAGTCTTCCGCATCGCCATGACGTAATGATCTGCCCAGAGTTTGATGTTAGTGGTGGCAACCGGCTTGTGCTGGGTCATGTGCACGAGCTTCACTATGTTAGCCTTATTCCACATAACGGAAGTAAAGATGTCTGAGTATACTGCGATTCAAGAGTTGCTAACTCGCGATATCAAAATTAATTGAAGACATTTGAGTGGAACAACTGCCTGAACCTTTGTTGTGGCACCGTATTTGAAAAGATGTTGGCAAGAAAAAAGATTTAGATTTTAAGAACAGTTTTTGCTCCAGGTGTTCCTTGGCTGCAGTCTCTGAAAATATTTAGTGTCAGTTTCCGTACTGAGTAGAATTTGTTCGTATAGGATCAATCCTTTTTCAAGATATTCCTTACCACAGAACTTAGTCAAAGACTTTTCTAATCGAGTTTGTTCTTTAAGAATTGTTCCTGTTTCTGGTACGCTTTTATCAATCTGTAAATACTTTCAGCCATTAGAACTACAGTCAGCCATATTCGAGATCATCTGTTGTTCCACACCTGTGACGTCACGTCACGTGATAGGCAAAATCAAAGCATCAATGGCGGAAGTTCAAGTAAGCGGCAAATTTGACACTTTGAATTTCGTTTTCTGAGCCAAATAGATCGCTGAAGATATATTTCTTGATGGTATTACAATTAGAAAAACATTTTCAAGGTTTTTCCGAAAAATGTTGTCCTACGCGAGAGTTGCCCTTTAAGGCGAATTTCTGAATGACAGTAACCCTTATCTAGCTTGCGAATACAGAAGCCTCTAATTACGCCTCGTCGCTGGGGAACACCAATTCCTTATCATAGTATGCAAGTATTTTAATATAGTAGAAGTAACTTAGCAGAGTATTGTTTTACCATTGTGTCTTAATATATTACCAAGGCCACTGCCTCTATTTTGGTACATCAAGTAATATATATAGATTATGGTAAAATTAGTTAGGTTTTAAAAAAATATGTCATTCTACGTACTTAGTGAGAGTCTTTTTATAATTTGCTATAGTGTATTAACTTATAAATTAAAACGTACTACTGTTAGGGCCGGACCGGTTATTTTTTAATTGAAATATGCTTTTTAAAGGAGTTTTGGCTAAAGTTACATATCAACCGATGCATATTATTCATAAATTGACTCATCTCAGGCTGGACAGTTTCAATTAATTCATAGACTATTTCAGAGGACCGCCCTTCTATAGTGGAGGCTGTTTTTTTTCAGCCTCAGTATACAGTCTTGGTACAAACAAATTATGTTCCTTAGATTAAAGGAGTACATAGAGTTTGTACCATTAAAAATTTGAGCCAAATGATCTGATGCAATGTGATTTTTCAATTTATACATTAGTGTGGTTAATTGCCTTGTCCTTCGTGTCTCAAGATTATCCCACCCAAGTTCATCCAGTATCTCAACTGATCGCGTATGGTAACTAGAGGAAGTTACCACCCTGGCAGCTCTGTTTTGGAGGGTCTGGGGTCTGTTACGCATCCCTTCCCCACAGCTCCCCCACACTATACTACAATAATCGAAATACGGTAGTACAATGGATTAGAACATCGTAATTAATGTATGATAAGGTATGAGATGCCTTACACATCTCAGAACTTCAATCCCTCCAGAAGCGTTCTTAGCAATTTTGTCTACATGATCTCTCCAAGTTAATGATTGATCTATTTCAACGCCATGATATTTATAACCCTGCGATGGACTAGGATCCCGTCCAGGGGGGAGTAGCAATACTCCTAGGCTTGCTTCATGCTACGGAAACCAGTATAAGCTGCAGCCGTGTGGGCCATGGGCTCATGTGCGTTTTTACCTTACGTTTTTCTCATTACCATGGGAACGGTCTGGCTGACTAACCATTCTCCGTGCTACAGACATCTTGATCTCATGCATGATAAGTAAGTGGTTTTTTTTGTAAATTAAGTTTTTTCGTTTTTGAAAATAAAGTTGTATAAAGTATTTTATTAAGAAGCAATGAATGGCTTAAAGTAAACAAATTATCACTCAATGTCACCAAAACAAACTATATTCTTTTTCGACCCAGGCAAAAACCCATTACCGTTAGTGATACAATTACGCTAGATAATATTGCTGTACAACAGGTTGAAGTGACTAAGTTTCTTGGTATTTTATTAGATCAGCATCTTTCTTGGAAACATCATATAAGTCATGTTGTTAAAAAAGTGTCAAAGTCTATAGGAATCATAAGTAAAGCTCGTTTCTTTCTTTCTTCCAAATCTTGTTATCCTATACTTCACATTGATTTACCCGTATCTTAACTACTGTAACATTGAATCAGGTTCTCAACGTATCCATCCAATTTGAATAGGATTCTCTACCTACCGAAACGCATCGTCAGAATCATTTGTGAAGCTGAATATCTTGCCCAAACTGCACCTCTTTTCCGGACTCTTAACATCCTTGACAAAGAGCCATAATAGGTCCTATTATGGCCCTTGGTCAAGGATATTATGGCTCTTGCCTTGACATTTTAAAAATTATTGCGTTCTTTGTGGTGTGTTTCATGTACTCATATCATAATAACCTCCTCCCTCATACGTTTAACACCACGTACACACATATAATACTCGAAATGCTAATAACTACCGACCATATTCCTGTAGAACAAACATTTAACAGTTCACAATCCTCCATTTAGGACCTAAACTATGGAACTCCCTTCCCCATATTCAGCCCCCCCTCCCCCCTCCCCATTCAGAGGAAGAAAGTTAATAAGCCCTCTACCCCTCCCCTTATTATTCTTCTTGATCATCAGCTGCGTGGTGACCTCCAACTTCTTGTACTTGATCGTGAGCTTTCCACTTTGTATTCTAATTCTTTCGGGAGAACTGATAGCATCGTCTTTGATAAATTAAATAAGTCCCCCTTCGACCCCCTCTCTCATAAGCCGTCCCCCCGTCTCTATTTTAAAGCGTCCCCCCAAATGTGTTTAAAACAAATAAGTCCTCCGAGAGGCTTAATAGAGGATTTACGGTAAGAGATCTCTCTTCAGCCTAGGCAGTATAGCACAAAGGTGATGTTATACCTAATTGTAATTACCCAAAAAGGAAAAATTAAAAATAGGAATAAGCCAGACAGGAATTAGTTAGGCTTGCTAATAAACCACTATAAGGTGCAATTATTTGCAGCATATACTTTTTGAAGGCGTAAAAACAACTGCAAAAGTGAGGGCTATTGTGGCGTATGTTGTAAATGAATGCACCCTATGTTTTGCTTAATTAGTGGTTTATTATTGAGGATCGTTCAAAAACTGCTCTGCGAGGAGCCTCATCGGCTTATCCAGCAGTATGGAGCCGCCACTTGTGCACCAGTGATAAGTAATGTGGAACGAGCTCCGACAGTGTGAAGTAGTTGAGAGAATTTCAGAAGGACAAAACGATTTATTTTTAAAGTAACACTTAGAATTGTAATCCTTAACTGAGTTTGTTACACGTTTTCTACCTTACATTTTCATCCTGTTCCTTCTCTCTTTTCTTCCTCAGTTTCTTGCTGTTTTGTTCTCTGCTTTTCTTTCTCCGTTTCTTTCTTTCTCTTAGTCTTTCTCCTCTTTCCGTTTAGTTACAAATTTTCTCTATTTTTATCTTCTATCCCTTTTAACGTATCTTCAAAAAACTCATTAATAATTCAGAAAGAAAAAACAAAAGAAATTAATGTTTAATAAGGGACTGGTCAAAAAGTATGGGGGGGCCGGAGCATTTGGAAATGTGGTTGATAAAAAACGCATGACCCACCCCCTCCCTTCGGAACAAAAATGACTGACCCACCCCTAAAGCAAGGTTGGAAATTGCATGACCCACCCCCTAGTTAAAACATGGATGTTTGGTTTCCTCTAAGGCCATCCCCTTTTTTCTCTTCGTTTACCGTCGAATGCGTGGTCGGTCGGTCGGATTGAAAAAAAAAAAATCACAAGGAGTCTCGGAATGGCAGGCCCTGGTACCCCAGGACGACGTTAAAAGTTAACATTCACATATTTGTATTAACAAAATGTAAACTATACTGTGAAAAATGTTCATGTTTTTGTTCTTGTTTTTCTCTGTGCTGTTACTATGCTCATTTTTCAGATTAAAAGAATTATTTCAAGTGAAAAATGGTGTAACTATGTCGTTACTTTTTTTAAAAAAATGCCAAAAATTTGGGTCGGTCGGACGACGGTAAACGGAGAAAAAAAAGAGGATGGCCGAACCTTGATCTGTGCTTGACAAAATTTGTTGATACACCGCTACAACCAATATCAAAATCACAGAAATCATACCTTTCACTGAAAAGACAAATGTGAAAAACCGAACATTTCTTGTTTCGATGGACGTTGTGAGTCTTGACACAAATATACAGGAAAACGAGGGTATATTGAAATTGTCTGTCACAACGTATATGAAAATTTCTACAAAGACAGCCCATTCCTACACATTACTTGACGGAAATTGTTAGATTAATCCTCAAAGAAAATTTCTTCCACTTCAATGGAAAGCACTGCCTACAACACCTTGGAACTGTAATGGGCACAAAGACAGCAGTTTTGATTCCTTTGCCAATATTTTCATGACATATATTGAAACAGCAACTCTAAGCAAAACTGTCTTTAGAACAACAGTTTGGAAATGCTACATACACGATATCTTTTCCCTATGGGACATGAGTAAACCAGACATCGAAGCCTTCATTGAACAAGCAAACTTACATCACCCAACTATTAAATTCATGGCCGAAACATTTGACACTGAGATGCAGCATTTTTAGACACGGCTGTATACAAAGGCACAAGATTCAAGAAAAAATCTATCCTTGATGCAAAGACACATTTTAAACAAACTGAAACCTTCTTGCACACACATTTCACCTAGTGTCACCCTCCAAGTGTTAAAAAAGGATTTGTCAAAGGAGAAGCCTTGAGAATCCTACGAAAAAAACTCCTCAGAAACAACCTTTGAGGAAAATAATTCAAATAAAAAAAAGGGCTTGATGGAGGGAGGTTACCCACAAACTTTGATAGAAGACCTACTATCAGAAATAAAATTCACAAAAACGAGTCTAAACTCCTAAAACAAAAGGTACAAGGAGGAAAAAGATTTATTGCCATTTGTGACACAATACCA